AGAATAGATTGGAGGTGACTATGAAAAGACCGACGGTGGTGGTGAAAAGACAGGCGGTGGTGAAAAGAAGAAAAAAAAGAAGGAAAAAAAAAGTCCAAAAAAAGAACGAAGAAAATGAAGAAAGAACGAAGAAAAGAAGAACAATTGATTTATGGATTTCTTGTTTTTTGTTTGATTGAGTTAAAAATTAATTTTGTTAATTAGTTGGATTATAAATAAGTTGAGTTTGGTTTGATTATTTTGTCTTTTCATACAGATTCGAGTAAAAAAAAAATTCAAAAAAAAATTCTTTTATGAGAGGGGCATTTGTAATTTCAACTTATAACAAAGGGTTATATGAGGTTTTGATCCCTCTTCAAACTCGTGGAGTTGTTTCTGGAGAATCATCATAAAACCCGCTTTTCTCAAGCCATTGACTGACCAAATATCCCACGAATTGAGAGAATCCCGAAGCCGTCGTCGCCATTGTCGTGTACCGAAACAGAGTCTTGAGATACTCTGGTCTCTTCGAGACGTAAGCTTTAGCAATTGAGAGCAAGACGACACAGAGTAGAGACACTGCGTAAACAGCTATGGTCTTGTACTCTTGTCTCTTTTCGATTCTTGTTCGGAACGAGAAACCGTATACCAGAGGTGGGATCATCCCGCAGATGAGGAAAGACGAGATTGCGATCAAACTGTGAAGCTTCGACTTCTCTCTTCTTCCGAGGATTTCCTCGTACCGATCTCCTTCTTCTTCCGAATTTGTCTGATTATCGGTGGTTCTGGTTCGTTTTCTGGGTTTCTCATTTATGAGTTCTTGGAGCTGCAAAAGTAAAAATTGCGTCTTTATTTAAGTCTCTGAGTGTTAGATTTAGATACAGATGAAGATTACTTACGCTGTGAACAATCAGAAGAAGACCACTCGACAAATTGGCAACTCCCAAGGCCAAAACGTTCACTGTATTACAAGCAAATACATTAAAAAGGGGTTAAGCGTTCTTAGTGTTCGACGAAATGCCTCAAAGAGATGGGGGATTACTTACGGGTCGAAGCACCAGACGCGGCTGCAGATGATACTGTGCAAAGGCTTGTGATGGATTCTGTAAGACCTCCATACACAACACTTTTTAGGATTTCGAGTTTAGTACCGTCTTTACGATGTTCAACACTATTTGGGATCTCTAGTTGAGTATTAGATTGCAACCCAGGTTCTGCTTGAGTTTTTGCTGCATTTTCATGAGTTTCCTTATTGGCTATTTGCATAGATGGTTGCTCATGTGGTGAAGTATCTAGCGGAGCTGGGTGAACTTTTTGGTTGTCTAGCATAATCAAGAATCCTTATTAAGGAATGAGGTTGACCAAAATTAATGAGGATTCAGTTCAGAATCAGAATTCAGAATAGACCTGTTTTCTTGTCAGAATCTTGACCAGGATCTGCAGCTTGGTCATCCTGATATTGAGTTTTTCGACTCTGTTCTTCACCAGTGGTATCACTAGACTTGGAATCGACCTTTTTGTCGCCTGCCATAGTTCAGAAAAATCGTCAGATCAAAGTGCTGAAAGACCAGAACACCTCCTTCTTCAAACATCGAAGTGACAAAGACAAAACAAGGGGGAGAAAAAGCAACTACCTTTCTCCTTGTGAAATCTCGGACTGTAACGGGTTCGCATTGCCATAATGACAAGAAACAACACCGCAAACGTGGGAAGTAACAAAAGTACAGAAGCGGAAGGCAACTGCAATGAGGACACAGAAGGCAACTGCAGATGTGGCGGAATGAAAGGCGGTAGAGAAGTAGAAAGGACTGAGGGTGACTGCTGTGGAGAAGTGAAAAGGAAGAATAGAGCAATAATAATACAGAGGAACAACCAAGCAAAAACATCAAGGTACCACTTTGGAAAACTCGGTCTGTCTTTCTCAATACTAACATCCATGCTCGGTTCCTTATCATCGATACCAAGATCGATGCAAGATACTGGTGACTTTGAAACTACTTCTTTCTTACCTGAATTTTCCAAGAAACCAACATCAATTACAACCATCCATACAAACGATACCTAAAGAAGACATGAAAAGAAAGGGTACCTTTGTCTTTGTTGTGGCCATAAACAGAAAGAAACAACTGCTGAAGATTAACAGGGAACCATGATGGAAACTTTGCCTTCTTGTCTTTCGATCTTGAACCATTCTTAGTGTCGATAGCTTCATTCTCAGTTTCACTGTTTTCTGTAGGTTGGACATCGGATATCTTCACGAGCTTGACTGTTTTGGTGATGTCTTCACCACAGCAGGGACAGTAAATGTAATACTTATGCTGCTTCTTGAACACGATCTCCACATCATCGTCCAATGAATCAGGTTCTGTCTGTAAATCTTTTTCTCTAACTACATCTACGGTTTCAGTGGATTGGTTCTTGTCTACAGATTCTGAACCATTCTCAGTGTCAAAAGCTTCATTTGACTCGGATTCTGTACGTACAAAATTGGATTCAAGTACTCGGAAAAAAGAAGTGAATAGAAGTCGAACTTCATTTGGTATCAAATTGAAAAGGACCAAAACTTTATCAACTGTATAAGTAACTAATCAGGAATACAAATAGTTTCTCAAACCTCTTTCTTGCCCCAAGTCAACGCCTTCGTCCTCCTCGCTGCTGTGTGGTGAGGACAAGGGCAGTTTGGTCATTTCGTCGACGGCGGAGCTTGGAGTGGGAATCAGATTCATGGTGGGTTCCATCGGAGACAAACAAAGATAAGATTAAGATACATTTCATCACAATTTATGGATAGTTTCTGAAAATAATTTTAATTCCACGAGTTCCACGTTCTTTATTTTATGCCTAACCAACATTCGTAACCAATTTTTTTCTGTCTATTTTATATTCTTGCCAATGCCTTTCGTTAACATGTGTAAATGAAAAAAGAAACTGATTTTTATTGAATAAATATCGAACATTTTGTTGGAAGAGAATAAAAGAAGAAAATAAAATCTGGAAAAACTTCTCTTATTCTGGACAAGACCATCCATATACACACACTTATATACAAAACCAAAAGACACAAGTGAGACTTGTGTCTTTCTAAACAAAATAACTATCCTTTCTTCTCTAACAAGTCACAACTTGTAAACACACCTTTTTACATACACACTTATACGTATTTTCACATAATACATATAAACTCAAGTATAATAATCTAACACTCCTCCTTAA